TCCAAATAAATCCAGGAATTGTGTTGCCCACAACTGCCTTATTTTCTTTACAGTAACTGAGAAAGAGGACTCATATGAGAATTACTGCAAAGAGGATGTACTGATTTTTGTCTGTGAAAGGTGATACAGATTGCCTGGACTGCTAAATTAGCCTGTAATCTAATCTAATCAAAGAAAGACACATCAAGTGTTGCCACTCAAGCTTCCCCATCAGCTGCAAGTAGCTAAAACAATCAAAACTGAGATTCTCAGGAATTGCATAGACCTGGAACTCTTGAGAATAAGATTACCTGTTCCTTTCCCTTTCAATTTCACTTTTAAACTGATGTGCGCCAAGAGCAGCTACACAGGCTATGAAATAGGGTATAGCCTCTAAATACAAAGCATTTCCCTAACTGCATATTTGCTGCACACACATACAAAAAAAGACTGTTTTCTCCATTCTTTATACTCAAAGTATAAAGAATAACTACACATACAATTTGCAATCACTGAGATTTACAGCCCTGACCTGACTGTAGTAAGTAATGTCACATATGCATTTTGTAAGCACCCTGTGCCTCATTTTTCCTCTATACTTGCAAGAGACACAGTTTTTGGATTAATATTATATTTTGTTAACACTAGAAATCTCCTGTTGACCCTACTGAAAGAAACACAAAAACACAGATAAGATAGAAAACTAAAGCCAACAAGCTGCCCATGCCTATTTTATATTATTTCAACATGTAATTCAAACAGGCAGAATTGCTTTGCTTCACCCCCAAAAAAAATTTAAAAGGGTGGGAAGGGGAGAATCCTTGCAATTCTTACAGAAATATTGTCTGGAAAATAATACATGTTACTACAGTACAAACTGCATCATGCATATTCTTACATTGCTTTAAAGCTGTGTATTACTCCCAAGAAGGCTACAGAAGATAACTATAGTCTACTGTCCATATGCTAAAAATCACTATGTAGGGGGTGGCCTCCCTGTGGGAAATTTATGCAACCCCAAAAAGGCTGCCAAAGCCACTTCTCCAGGGACCTTGCAACTGTGTTAACAGGGAAGCACTGAAAACCAATAAAAACTCTAGCAACACTAAGAAGATGCTCCTTTTCCCACTACACACCTTCCACCACGAACATCACTAGCTCGTCCACACACATTAAGTTAGGAAAAAATACCCTGCAGACAGATAACAAATAACACTAATGTGGGGGGTTTATCTTCACATCTCAGTAAAGCACAGGCTACTTCAGTTTTTCATTTTTTCACCAAACATAGAGAATACAAGTAAAGCACAACCAGTTCGGTTAGAGAGCATGCCAAGGGACTGCTCTCATCTAGGATGCTTTGATAAAAACAAACACCTTTTGTGTCTTGAGAGTCACTTGAATGTAATGTGCTTTACACAGCACAAGAGGGGTTGCTTGATTTTCCAAAGTGCTTATTTAAGAAGTCCAAATTAACAGAAGCACAGGGAAATTATATGTATAAACAATAGCTGCCATGGTTATTTTAGCTTCCTTCCACACCCGCAAATACGCACTGTACAAGGAGGCTGCCTCGTCTCTCATGTCAGGAAATTCTTTCTGCTTCTGAATGCTGGTGAGAAGCTCCATCCTTCTGTACTGAACACCTGAGAAGCCATCCAGGGCTGACAAGCTCAACACCAGTCCCTGCTCACTCTGCCTGCTTTGCTCCCCCACACCCATGCCCAAGCTGTGACAGAAAGCTCACAGGAAATTAAACCTGCAAGCAGAAGCAGTTCACCCCTGCAGACAAGGAGACAGCAATATTTCTAAGGGCTCAAGTCCTTTCCTCACCATCACCTCCCTCCCCTCTTGACCCTTCTGCCTTACAGCTTCTCTTATGGCAGTATCGCCTATTATCTTATTTCCCTTCCTGGCCAACCCCACACCTATAAGAAGGAACTTTAGCTTAATAGGTGGACTATACAAGTAAAGACTGATGTCCTTCAGGGATGGAAAATGAGAAGACAGAACAACCCAGCATGGCTATTAAATTTGTTAGAGTAGGATCTCTCCTATGAGGCTTTACAGCTGTGCCCCGCCTCCCCTCACCAGCACAAATACTGCAGCTATGTCAGCCCTAACCCCTCAGCAAATCTCTATTTCCACCAGCTCAGAGACAGAGATCAATGCAGCAAAAGGGGCAAGTGTTAAAACGAAGCATTCTCTCATCCCTTCTCTTTGCAGACCTTTCTCCTCCCACCACCCATCCCGGTGCCAGCCCTGCCTCCCATACAGGGTGCATAGGTCTGCAGAGGGATTTTCTGCTCCCTTCCTCCCTGCACAGGAATGCAGGAGAGACTACAGTTTAGTGCTGAGCTGGTAAATGCCTCATTTCACTGAGCAAGCGATTCTAGGCAGGACACTATATAACAGGCAGACTCTGTCACTCTGATGGTTGGGTGTATTGAGCCACACTGACCACATCTTCCCTGCAATAACTTCTAGGAAATTTTCAACCATAAGACCCTTTCCAGGAATGCATAGTGCACTGGGCAATACTCAGAGCCCTGCTATCTGGGAAATATGCCTCTTGTGCTTCACACCTTGCCATGCCTTTGTAAATTCGGCTTTCCTGGACTGGAAGTCACATGCAAATCTCAGAAACTCCCCAAAAATGTAAATGGTGCACTTTGACGCTGGAAACACGTGCTGGCTTTGCTCTTTGAATTGGAGAAAGAGTCTAGAGAGGAGCTGCACACAGGTCTTGCCCTGCCCCAGCGCACACTGCTTTTTGCCATATACAACTCTCTAAGAAGTCAGGAAATGGCAAATTCCTATTGTCTGGAAAAAAAGGACAATCAAGTCTTGCCCTCTTGTACTTTCAAGGGTAAAAAGAAATTTTGGATTTCTCTTCCTTTAGTAATAAAAATACCATTTTAGACTGTGCTACTAAAGAATGAGCAACAAATTGGGCAACAGTATCACAGAGAATTGTTTTAAACTGCCTGTTTACACAAGCCATTCACGTAGAGTGGGTCCCTGCTGAAGGGAGCAGCGCTCTCGGGGCAACTTTTAATTCTACATAAGGCTGACTACTGAAATATGCTCTCGATTTACAAATTACAAAATCAATCGTGGAAACAGCTACTGAGGCACATCAGCCTTCACGGAGCAAAGAAATGCGAGACAGCTGCGATGTCAAAAGGAGTGAAGGCGAGTGCTGAGTACACACTGAAACGGCTTCGTCTTCACTCCTAAACAGGAAGAAAACTGATGTGTTTTAAAGACTCATACAGCACCAGTGTGCTCAGGTGTTGTTACTGCAGGCACTAACAGAGGGAGGCAGACTTACAAGCACTGTATACTCATTAGATCACAGCAAAGCTCAAACATTATTACCCGGTCTCCACCCCAGGAAGTCCCTTAAACTGCATAAACAAACCAGTGACAAAATTTAGATGCAACAGCCTCAATTCAGACCCCACAGAGAAGTTCGTATTAAGACTTCACAGGTATCTTTGTGAACTATGCAGCTGCAGTGCGGGAGGACGAGAGGCGCTTTGGTCCCGCGGGGAGCGCGGGGCTCACAGGGAGGAAACACAACTGCCCTCGCCTTCCTAAATCCTCACGGGGCACGAACTCCTCCGCACTTTTCACTATCACGCGGACAACCCAACAGTTTCTCAGCACACGCTACTGAAGAATGCATTTTATCACCTTCCCTCCCCTTCAAACTTTTCCTGTAACATTATGCCATAGTTGGTTGCTCACGGCTGATCCTCAGCTGCACCTCCCAGCCGCCAGCAGCACCTCCTTTGCTTCTCGGAATAACCACCAAAAACACGCACGTGAAAAAACGTGCGGTACCGAAAGGGCTACAAGCACAGTAAGGTGGGAGCGCCCGTGGCTCGGAGGAAAGCGATGGCACAGGGGAAGGCAACACCGCAGCATGCTTCAAATGCCATTGACCTCCGGTTAAATGAACTTCTGGGCAAATATGTAATCACTTTATCAAACACGCGCCAAGGGCATTTCTGAAGCTGTTCGTTCTCTCAGGTGGAGCAAGTAAATTAGTCTCTGTGAGGAGACGGGGATCAAACGCCTGTGCACGCCTCTCTCCTCATGAACTTGCGGTCTTGGGAATGTGGCTCTGCTTCTTCTTACTCCCTCCCCACCATCCGTCCCGTTCTAGGGGGACACCCTCGCTTCACGTCTCCTCCACGCACACCAGCGTTTGCTCCTTTCTCTGGGCTCGGTTTGTAAGGCTACTTCTTACAAAACTGTTTCAGTCACCCCTGCGAAAGGAAAAGGCACTGCTTTGCAGGGATGGCTGATGTGTCCGTGAGGCACCACCAGCTTCATTTAAGCTGCTTTGCAGCCCCCACTGCCCTAATCGGGAGTGGGGTGGTGGAAGGCGAAACTGGACAGAGGGAGGTGTCGGGCGTTTCGAGGTAACTACGGAAAAGTCACTCAAGCCCTTCCTTTAATACCGGGGAGAACGGGGGGCCTTTACTTCTTTAACCCTTCCTCTCACGGTACCCAACTCCCCCCACCTTTCCCGGGCTGAAAAGATGCGAAAACGTCCAGACGGCAGATCCTGAAGATCGCTCACCCTGGAGGTGTGTGGAGGGGAGTGGTGTCGGCCAGGCTGCCACCGGGAGCTCAGAGCCCGGGAGCCGACCCGCCGCCGCGACCAGACGCGACAGCGGAGGCTCCACCGGGCGCGCCCGGACGGGGCTGTGGGGGCTGTGCTGGAGGATACGAGGGCGGAAAAGTTCAAGCCCAGCTCCGCGGCACCTCGCTCGCCCCTTCCCGAGGGGCCGCACCCGTAACTCGTGCCGTCGGGGGTCCCGGCGCGGCGCGGGGTAGAGAGTGTGAGCTCTCCCCGCTGGAAATACGCCCGGAGGAGCAGCAGGAGATGCGCGGCATTACCCCCTAACCCCCGGCTCGACTTCGCCGCCCCTTCGGCAGCCGAGCCGGCCCGCCCCAGAGCCTCCCGCTCTTGGGCGCACTGAGCCGGCCCGTCCCCGCTCCCCTACCTTCCAGCAGCACCTCCTTGCCGGCCCGTTTGAGCGCCTGCACCGCCTCGTCGTGAGTGGCATCCCGCAGGTCCGTGCCGTTGACGGCCAGGATGGCATCGCCCACGTAGAGGGCCTGGGTCTGGTCGGCTGCCAGTCCCTTGAAGATCTTGCTGATGAGGATGGGCATCTTGTTCTCCTTGCCTCCCTTGATGCTGATGCCCAGCCCGCCCATCTCCTGCTTCAGCACCTTCACGCACCGCTTCTTGTTGGAGACGGCCTCGGGCACCTGCTCGGGGGGGTCTGTGAAGGCGGTGCGCACCGCGGCCGCCCCCCCGCCGCCCTCGGCCCCGCGGCACGCCGTCCCATCGCCGCCCAGCCCGTTGTGGGCCGCGCCGTCGGGGCGCTCCTCGCCGCTCAGCACCAGCGCCTCGCCGCTCAAGTTGGCCAGCACTTTGTGCCAGCGCTCCCGCACCAAAACTTCCAGCCAGCCGCTGCGCTGCGCCCGGCCGCCCCCGCCGCCGCCCGCCGCCGCTACCGCCATCTTAGGAGCATGCTGGAAGCGCCGAGTGACGGCACCCCCGGCTCGGCACAGCGCGGCGGACCCGGACTTCAGCCGGGGGGCGGCGAGCTCCCGGCGCGGCGGGGAGGGGCGAGGAGCCGCGGCCGCCCCCCCGGGGCTGCGCCGGGGCGGGCGCACCTGGCGGCACCGCCCGCGGGGTGGGTGGGTGTGCCGGGCGAGGGTGTCCCGCCCCGGCCATGGGTGTCCCGCCCCTCCCGCGGGGACACGTCTCGGGACCCCCCTGGCTGAGCCGCGGGTCCTTTCGAGCTGGGGGTGTGATGGCACCCAGCGCTGGAGGGGCCCCGCCGGAGCGCCGGCAGCTGCCGTCTGCTGTGGGGTGTAGAGAGGAGTTGAAGGAAACCGGTGGCAGGGAAGAGATAAGGAAAACCCCCAACTCCTTTTTTTTTTTTTTCCACAGAGATTTTTTTTCTATAAAGTGGATTAAAACTAATAGGTAGCCCAAAGGTAGTTAAATTTCAACAGTATGAAAGTAAAATTCAAGTTGTTTCACGGCTTTGTGGGATGGAGATGTTAAGTGCTTATGACAGATACTTTTGCACGTTTTGAAACTGTTTTCTATGCCCTTTGACTACGAATTTTAAAGGCCCATGGAGTCCACATTTGTCATTTTGCAGCTTTTCCCATGCACCCTTCCCTCCTAGGAAGCAATAGGTGCCTGACAAGGGACTCAAAGATCCAGCTTAGGCACCAGAGAGGAGAAAGCTTTCACATTCCTGTTTGGAGATGTCCCCAGCAGGCCTGGAGGTGCTACCCCACAGCAATGTGACTCTACAGACACGAAGCACCTCCTGAACTGCCTTTGTTTCTGCTCCTTGCAGAGCAGCTCTGGCTTCTTCCTAAACTGGAATGAAAACTCCGGCAGTTCTGAACCATTTGGTGTATCCCAACTTTGGGAAGGTTGGGATAGCTAATGAAGTTATTAGTCCCAATCATTTTGGCCACATGAGTCATGTGGGTCTCTAAATACAGCATCTTGCTCCTCTCTGAAGTGATGCCATTAATTTCTGACTCCAAGGTTTTGCTTCCAGGTACTCACACATGCCCCAGATTAATGTGGGCTGGGCAATTTGGGATTCATCTTCTCAGCATGGGGTTGGACCTACATGTGGGATTCTCCCCAGAAAAGCTTGCCTTGGTTTAGTGGAGTCTGTCAGACCACGCTGCTCACACTGAGCTACACAGAACACATTCCCTTTCCTCCAAAGGACAGCAGAAGGAGGCCCCAATCCTCCTTCATCTGCAGCCTCACCCAGGCTGCACGCAGGTCCCTCCTCCCAGTAGGAATGCAACCCTGCACCTAGGGAGAGCGGGAATCCACAGGCAATGGGTTATTCAAGGATAATGGGTGGGTGGAGAAAAAGCAGTCTGGAGAGAGGTCTCTTCATTTCTCATGTTAATTAATGCAAGGTGAAAAGCTATAATTAAGTTTTCAGGACTGTGAATCCAAAGTGAAAAGAAGCATGTCCCGTTAAACCTGAACAAGGCATCCTTTTCTCCAGCTAATTCCTCACTACCTGATTTAGGTAGCTCATGTATAACACTCTGGATGTTTGGGTTGGTGGTTTTTTTTAGATACCATTCCCAGGTGCCAAACATAGTTAATGAATGTGCTTGCTCAGTTGCAGCAGCTTCAGGTAGGTGAGAGAAGGATGGGAGGGAAAAGACAGGCTTGCAAAAATTGAATGCTACAATGCCAGTTGTCATAGCACTCATATTCCTGCATAGCTCCAAGCCCAAGTGACCAGGCCAAGTTATAAAATCAGGCACCTCTGCTTGGTAAATTGGCTCTTACCAGTTATTTAATGTTTCTTCTTTATGAATTACTAAAGGATCAGTGCTGCTTCTAATGGGAATGTATCTTTTTAACATAGTTTCAGAAAATTCATAAGGAAAGGATATTCAGATGTTTGTGTCCTGTTGTGAAAAGGTAATAGAGAAAGGAAAGTTAATGTTTAATGCCTCACACTTCTTCCACACACTGTGCGTTTGGGCCGTGTTTACTGAGTGTGTCTGGTTCTCCAGTGGGGATCCTGTGGAACTGCCTGGTGTAGACAATTGCACTGCATGTATCCGAGAGCTGTGCTTGTTCCAGCTATTTTCCTTTCCTATTCCAGCAGAGGTAAATAATAAAGTTTCCTAAGGCCAGCATCTGATATATGGGTACCCCGTACAAAAAAGGCTTTGTAGCAGTCTCCATTGCTTCCTCTTCCCCCTTCCTGCCCACCTTGGAGCTATAAGAAAAGAGAGGTGATGTTTTAATCTTGAAAATAGAAGTAGAAAGAAGATAGTATAAGAGATGCTAAGGCACAGATCCAAGGCAAACAGTGTCCCAGATCATCTCCCCTCCTGGAGACAGTGCAATTGATACCTGATGTCTGTGCTTCTCTGTCCTAGGAGTGCAGGCTTGTAATTGTGTTTGTGTATCCTGAGTCTTTGTGTACCCCAAGAGCAACTTCTGGCTGCTGAACTACGTGTGAGAAAGAAAAGGTGCCTTGAGACTTCTCTGCTGGTACCCCTGGCAACATTACTATCCCCAGCCCTGCCTCAGGTCTGCCAGTCACACCTGCAGGGGTAGTTTCTGAAATTCAGGTTCATGCAGCAGGAGCAGAAACAGAAGATAAAAACAGGTGTTTAATTGGGTTTGCAGCTATTGGATGCTCAGGTTTGCAACAAATAAAACTGTTACTTCAAAGTCAGCTGCTGGTCCCTAATAGTTTCCAAGGCATAGCAGAGTGCAATCTCCTAATTTCAGCTGCAAGCTTCTCCTGGCTATGTTTCTGACATCATCTATAAATATCCACACTACAATTGCAGTGTTCAGTGAGACTCTTTGCAAGGAAGCTGGGATGCATGGTGGGATTGGCAGAGGACTCAGTACTTCCAAGCTCCCATCTCTAGTCACCAGAAAGGCTTTCAGCACAGACAAAGCTTAGCAAAAGTCTCTCTCCATCAGTTGTCCTTCTGAAAGAGTCTGCTGTGAAAAGCAGAGCCTTTCAAAAAAGTCAAATAATCATCTTTTGATGTTTGTATTTTAGCAGTGTGTAAAAGCTTGAACTAGATTAGTGTCCTTTCTCATATTGTATAAACAAATTGTTAGGCAAGATAATGCTAATAGCTGCTATTGACCTGGAGGGGCCTGTGGGCTCAGCTAAAGTCAAGGGGCCAAATGGAAGAAGCGATTCAGCGAACTGGAAGAAGTCAGTGCATTGGAAAACACAGCAATGGCTTCCCGGGGCAAGGAGCACCGAGGCATGTCCAGGTCATAAAGGGCAGCAGTGATGTCTGAGGTGTCCAAGCAAGGTGAAGGGATGTGGGATCTGTGCATGCATGCAAGAACAGAAATACAAGAAGAACCATGAAGAAAGGGTTGTGAGTGTGGCACTGAGGATGTTCTTCAGGCTCAGCTTTACTGGAGAGGCTACTGGAGATAGAATGAGGACCCTGCCTGTTCATGGGCTTTTTCCCCCTGTTTTCAGGCAAAGAGGTCAGTGTTCACATATTATATAAATAAACTGTCCTCCTGATAGCAAAATCATTGCAAAGCCTCATATGCAAGCTCACCACTCACACAGTGGTGCAGGGAACACAGCTCCCACTCCCATCACAGGCAGAGAAGGTAAGGACACAAGAGAGCCTTTCTATAGCCATGGCTTCTTTATGACTGTCTGTGCTTTTCTATAGCAGAGATGTAATTTTTGAAGGACTTTTGGGACATGCTCAAACCCTTCTAGTGTCTTTTTTTCTTTCTTTTTGCATTATTAGTGTTGCAACAATAGCTCAAAGCCAGCTCAGCTGAAATTCCTTTACGTTGGAAACAACAGGGTTGTGATCCTTGAACATGTTTCAGATGATAGAAGTTGGAAGAAATCAGGTCTGGATAATGACGTTCCCATTTTGTTACCCTGACACCGACCAGCTCAGCAGACGGATCTAGACAGGAAGGAAGTCCAGTGTCAGAAGGCCAGTACTGGAAACCCGACAAAAAATGAGAAAGCTGGAAAGGAGTCCAGTTCCTCCAGTGATCCCAAACACTGTTCAGCAGCCAAGTTTAAGTTCCTTTCTGAGGAACATGCCTGAACTACTAATTCCCCCATGGCAGCCCCTCCTATGTCTATGCAGGATGGGATGCAGCAGGGCAAGCTCCAGCCCTGATGCGGATGTCCCTGTTGCACAGTGGGGGGACCTCTCACTTGGCCAGGGTCATGCCTTCCAAAAGGCATTGCTGGTGGAGGGCAGGCAGTCCCACTAATCCTCACGAGCTATCCACCCTTTCTCAGTGTTAAGGGAGCCTGTTGGCTTTAAAGTCAGCATTGACCAATCATTGCTCATTGGTGCTGGTGGGGTTATGAAGATGTCAAGAGTGCCTGAAGATCTTCATAACCTGGAGGCTGCATTATGACTTATTTTCCAAATTACAGAAGCATTGTTTTTCTTTTCCTGGTTTGAAGCTATCCAGGTTTTTCCACACATCATGGTATTTAGAAATAAAATGAATGCATAGCTGCTTGCCAACAAACGCTTTATGCATTCAGTTTTTCAAAGCAGGAACCTACTTGTGTGCACATGAAAGAAGTATCTGTGTGAAATCTGTATGTGCATCTACCTAAGTCACATGTTAACTAGGTAAACTGAGAAAATGTTCCCACAGCCAGGGAGTTATGGGCCAGGCTGCAAACGAACCTATCCCTTCTGCAAATACAACTCTGGCACAAGTGAATGCAGAAGCTGGTGCCAGGCAGCGTTCAGGTTTCTTGTGCGCTCACATCTGGGGCTGTTTCCTGATACAGTTAAGAAGACTTTTAAAAAAGACAAGCTCAAGCTCAGAACTCTAGAAAGTTTTACCTTGACTTCAAGCAATTTTATGAAAGAACTAAATCAAAAAAATCTGAAAATAAAGGTTCATATAATAGTGTTGACACTACAGCAGAGTTTGTCCTGTTTTGGTGTCCTGCACTTGCTTTGCAGATCTCTCTCAATGCATTAGTT